ATTTTTGCTTGATGCATAAAGTTAAAAGGTTAAAACTAGTAAAACAAGTTTTAAAAAGAGACTTTTCCATTTGATTACATTTTGTATGATGGATTGTAGAAAAAGTAGAATTGGGCTTAAAGATCTATCGCTTTATTACCTACTCAGGTTGTAAATCGTGTTTTTAAAAAGTAACTAAGTAATTAATTACTTTTGAAAATAAGTAATCAGTAAAGTAACGGGATTACTTTTTTGGGGACGTAATCGGTAATTAGTTACTGATTACTTTTTTCAAGTAACTTGACCAACACTGTTTATATAGCACCAAATCACAACAACTGTCACCTCCAGGTACAATAATACAGAGAAACCCAACAATCATATTGAGCATGCGCTCAGTGACGGTGGGAAGGAAAAACTCCCTTTTCACAGGAAGAAATCTGCGGCAGCAGGCTCAGATTAGTATATTGATGAATGATTTTAATTGCACTGAGATGTCTGCCTCTTTAGACAGCAGCCAGCTCCCCCTGAGCAGCATGTCGGCTGCACACATGCATCACCCTGATGGACAACAGCTACCAGTTGCCTTCCACGAATACAATGTTATAATATTAATAAAATTATGTGTGATAAGAATTTTTTTTTTCTGTTAGCACTCATATTCTCAGCAGCAGCTGTTTTCCTGTCTTATTTTTCTGACCGTAAACTCAAGGCCTTGTGTCTGAAACATGCCGTCGGTGTGCAGTGGTGTTTGGGGCCGAGGTGGAGGAGCGAGGTCTGCGGGGCTTGTCGGGGGTGGGAGGATCCTGGCTGTCAGAGGACATGAGGATGATGAGTTTGGCTGACACTCACCGCCACTCTCTCTGATCGGCTGTGATGTGCCAAGATGGACATCAGCACAGCCGGGGATGCTCTGGCTACCGGCCCCGCCTGTCTGCTCGCATGCCAACACAAACTGCACAATGTCTTGTTTTAGGGGAGGAAGCGTGGCTCTTTTGGCATCCCACGCCGCCTCGCGTCATTTGGCTGCTGCTCTGCTGTCTTCAGGGCCTCTGTGGAGGGAGGTGCACGGCCTCTGTGTGTTTTTGTCAGGAAAAAATCACTCCAAAACTTTCATGTTGGGTGCCAACGTGACCGTCAGGCCTCACCCAGCAGAATTGATGAGTGCCTTCTGATAATCCATTAAGACACAGCGAAAGGTCGCGGGGTATAAATAGCCTTCAAGGACGCGGCGTGGCGCCATCTGAAGAGGACATGCAGAAATCTCCTCATCAATCTGCACATGAAGCTGTTTGTTTCTGAGCAGCTTTGTCAGGCAGCCCGTGACATTTACACAGACCGGGGGTGGACAAAATAGCAGCAACACCTGAGAACAGGACGTAACTTCTCCCCGTGACCTGTTTATCCTGCAGCTCATCAACTCAACATGACGGCCTCAAAGCAGAAAGCCCACGCAGCCACAGCAGCAGTTGAAAACTGGACTCTGGTCGTGACACACTTTCTTTCTGCTGGAGCAAACGTAAAGTCCGTTTACATTCCCAGCTAGTTTACTTTGGTGCCATTTTAAGACTTTTTCATCTCACTCTGAGAAATCTACCAACTTTTTTCAACAGCAGGTGGGAGGGGCTTCTGTGTTCAAAATGACCACATTACCACTATCCTGTTATGACATCATGCAGCTCCAACAGTAGGAAAAAACTGATTAACCTGAGTTTTAGGAGCAGCCTGAGGTTTACTGCACATGCACTGGCCTCGTTATTAGAAACTGCGGATGCATTTAATGTGAACATCAATCACTGGAACAGCAGAAGAAGCAGAACAGATCTCCCTTGAATGTAAAAATAGGTTAAAGTCTTACATAGTTTCATATGGGATGCAAAGGGGGGTTCAGAGGTTCCCATAACAACACATCACACAAGTGAATGTGGAAATAAAGCCTGCTGCATTCAGCTCAGACATACTGTGCACATAACAGGTCTGCCATTCCTCCGTAACTGAAGCTTTGTCATTACATGCACAACGATCCTGTTTGTCTCCGCTGGGAGAGCATGTCATCAGGCGGCGCTCAGGTGACCCATGAGCTGATAACGGGCAGAAAAGAACAACCTGCAAACACGGTGAGCAGGACGAGCGCCCAGCCTCACAACCACGTCCAAGCTCGCCGCCGAGCGCTTTGACCAAACGTCTTGGCTCTGAGTGATGGAGAGGCAGATGGTGCTCATGGCTAACACATGCACACACACACACACTCGGGCTGAAGAGCAGCAGCTGTTGTACAGTGGAGGTGGCAGCTCTGCTGTGTGGAGGCTTTCCAGCAGAATACATTAACCTGCATCCGTGTTCACTCAGAAACAGGAACTAAAACATTTGTTTTGATGCACGTTTTACTACAAGAACGGATTTTATTTATTTTTGGGAACCATCTACATCACTCAAATCACTTCACACCTTCTCTTTGTTATTAAAGGAATTTTTTCTCTTAGTTATTAAAGGAATTTTATTTTGACAAACATGCTTATTGTGTTATTATTTAGTGTAATTTATTTAATTAGAAGAATATCTATTAACACTGTCAGACTGTCAGCGCATCGGTGTGAGAGTGAAGAAAATGTAATTAAAGAAATAAAGTCGTGACACGACCCCGTCCCCCACAAATGAAAATAAATGATGGCAGATGTGAAAGATGGCTGTAGCTTCGTACCTTACCAGCTGGGTGGAGCTGTGGTTGCACCGCCTGTTTTGTGAGAAATGTCTCCACATTGTTGTTTGAATCTCTGACTGAGGAGTGATACGCTGCAGCATTTCATTATTATTACTGAGATGTAATGTATGAAATCTAGACCCATCACAACAACTGTTGTGTTCACAAACCATGTACTGGACCGGCTTGCTTCAGGATGCAGTGCAACCGTGAATAGAAATGGTGTAAGACTGTGCTGATGTTCAGTGTCTGTTTGTCTAAGGTGGTTCTCAGCAGCTCTGCAGCTCTGGCATCAACAGTCTTCTTGGGAACAAACCAACAACCAGAGAACAAAACAACACCCCTCACAAATGTACTCATTCAATTTCAATTCAGTTCAACTTTATTTAAATAGCAACAAATCACAACACAGTCACCTCAACGCGTTTTATATTGTAAGATAAGGACCCTTTAATGATAGAGAGATTAGCCCAACAATCAGACGACCCCCTATGGGCGAGCACTTGGTGACAGCGGGAAGGAAAAACTCACCGTTTACTGGAAGAAACCTCCAGCTCAGGGAAAGGCAGCCATCTGCTCTCCAGACAGCTTCACATTCTTTACTGTTGGCTTCAGAAACCGTCAGCCACCATCATCCGTGTTTACATTACCTTCATAAGGACAGGAGCCCCGTGAGGTGTAACAGAGGCCACGTGACCAGGAGATATCACAGTTGTCCTCCAGAGTAAGAACAACTTTCTCCCTGCTGCACAGAGCTAAACTCTCCGACATGTTTCTCTGGGTTTGCTGACTGTAATGTTTAAGGATTGCTGAAGTACCACAAACTTGCAGTCTGTTCACACATCTTTGTTTTCCTCATCCTGAGAGGTGATCTAAATATTCGTGTCTCGGAACAGCTGGAAAACTGACAGGTGTGCTGTAAAGCGTTTGGATGGCTGTTTGTGCTCTGCGGCGGCAAAATAACAACAGTAATGCTGTTTGACACGGACGCAGATTCATGAAGCAAACTCGTGTGGAAGAAGTTACAAAAAAGAATCAGACAAGAAAAAAACGAGCTCGGACAAATGAAACCATGCGGACAGGTGACGGTTACATCGAGGCGATGGCGGTGTAAGGGTAGTGCGCTGACGTTTGGGTATCCTGCGAGTAAACGTGAGAGCGGAGACGCTCTTCGTGTGGAGGCCGACGGGAAGTAGCACGTCAGGTAGTTTGTGTGCGAGTGCTTCAGCGTCTGTTTCTCTGCTGCGGAACAATGAAGTCATTATTGTGCTCATTTGTTTCTCGTGCTCCGTAAACCAGATGCAGCATGTTTCTAATCGTCAGAGCACGCGTCCATCGGGTCCTCGTTACTGCCTCCGCGGTGACTTCAGGACACGTCCGTACATTAGAACAATCAGCTCAAAAAATATTTAGATTTACATGATGGCCACTAAATTACTTCCAAGTATTCCTCCAAATTATTTGGACAAGAAAGATTTTTTAAAACTGTCCAGTCGCACCAGTGAGTTTTCTTCTTGTTTTTACAGGATTTATCCACAGTTTGGTTCCAGATGTCATGTTGTTTCAGGAGTTATTGTGTGTGATGTTTGGTGTAGTGACTTAAATCCTTTCATACTGGAGAGATTTTATTCTTTATTTCTTCTTCTGTGATCTGCTGTAGTTCTGTGGTTAAATGCTTCTTGCTTTCCGGGTCCTGTTAGTTTATCCTCTATTTGTTTCAGCCTTATTCCAGATTTCACCATCACCTCCAGTTTCATCTCTCTGGCAGTGGTTTCTGCTTTGTAGGAGGTAAAAGAGCAACAGACCAAACTGTGCCAGCACCCCTCCCAGTGTAATGCATTCAGTATTTCAGAACCATCCCAGCAGTTTATACTCACAATCCTAAAAAAATTCACACTGTGATTATTTGCTTTGATTTATTTTATGGGAACTGAAGAGAACCGACTTTTCAACATGTGACAGAAAACATTTTCCAGGTCTCGATCTTGTTGTCTAATTACAGATTAACACATATGTTCATAGCATCTGTCTGTCATTGGAAATGTTCTGGAAAATGACTTCCTGAAGGAGTGGAAGGCCTGGTTAATAACAATTAGTCACGAGCAACAGATTGATGAGGAATTCTTCCAGCTTTGTGTCCACAGTTTACTTTTTCCATTATGATGACCAGATTCTGCAGAAATGCTTTTACAACAATCAAACAACCCCCGTGAGCAAGCAGTTGGCGACAGTGGGAAGGAAAAACTCTTTTAACAGGAAGAAACCTCCAGCAGAAAATAAAGCAAAAAAAAATAAAGCAAAAAAAAAAGCTCAGGAAGTGACGGGAATCTGCCGAGACCTGTCGAGGATGAAGGGAAAGAAATTGAAATGATGAAACTGAGGGAAGTGATGTGAAAGTGAAGAATGCAGTTGTAATTGCTGGTCATATTCAAAAATGCCCCAGATCAAAATGAATAGTTTCATACGATTATTATGTGACCAGATGAAAACGATATGTTTAGTTGTTGTTATTTGTTTAATATGGTCATATTCCCGTTGCAACTCACTGTTTTGATATTTGATTTTCAGATTAAGCTAGATTTTTCTGATTTTTCGCAGGCGAATAAACAGATCTGACACAGTTTCCACTTTAGAGTCCACACCTCAACTTTCAGTACTTTTAAGGAGCCTGCTACCCAAGCCTCAGATATATGAGACCAGCACACTTCTGGACCTGTGGAGGATCTCCTGCCGATTTCCGTCAGGATCAGAAAATCATAAATGTTTTTCTGTGAGCAGCAGCATTGACCTTTATTGGATGCAAACCCTGAGAGAAACACAGGTTAAATACCACTAGTGAGCTCATTCACTTTCAGCTGGTGCTGATTCGTCAGCGGCCCGGAGACAGTAATCAGTTCTGTTGTGGATTCCATGGCCATGTGGTTCTTTTACCCTTGGTGGTGTGCTGAATGTGTACGCTGACAGCAGCGGGAATAAAGGAGGATGTGTGGTGTTTGTTTCTGCATGTGGTTTTCCCTCTGCAGCCTCAGCCACCTGGAACACAAAGGCATCTGACAGTAATCAGGACAAGGGGGAAAGGCATGAAAACAAACACTGTTGTTTGGAGCTCAGGCTTCCTGGCTTTTGTCAAACGCTTCGTTTAAATGCTCCTCTAATGTTCTGCAAGTGCTGCACTGCCAGACAGCGAAGATTAGGTGCGAGAATACACGAGAGACAGGGAGCAGGAAGAAGACAAAGGGTCATTTAATATGGCTGATGTGGCGAGTGCTGCGGGGACAGCTGGCGAGCTACTCGGGGAAATGTCCCTGATAGTGTGTCCTCATATGGACGCTTTGGCTTCGGTGAGCTTCAGCGGCCGGGTGGACGGACAGACGGGTGGGTGGCAGGGTGCTCCTGCTGCGACGCCCGGGGGCGCCACCGTGCTGCGCAAAGAGGGGGGGGCAATGGGAAAAACAGCTGCTGACAATCAGGTCTTTTTGTCTCTGTAGTTCGGGGGAGGAAGGAAGTGAAACACATATATTTGGGTAACTTATTGGATTTAGTGGAAAAATTGGAGAAATGTGTTCTCGGCTCGTCGTGCTGACAGTTTGTGGTCGACATGAAAGCTTGTTGTTCATGCTTTGGGTTTTGCAGCATTTTCACTTGTTTCTGTGTATTTTTGTACTGTGCTTTTTCACAGAGGCCAGAAAAATATTGAAAAATGAGCCGTGTGCCCCGTGAAACGCAACACTGGTGCTTTCTTAATCTGTTAACTGTGGAAATATAATAAAATTAACGTAAAAGAATATGTTCCGTATAAATATAAATGTGCTTTATATTTAATTCAGTTACACCTCATTGTCTGAATTCCTTAATAATATGTGGGAACAAATATATTTTTAAGTAAGTGTTTATTTGATTAATATCAGCGGGTCCGCAGTGTGATTTTAAAAAGGTTTTCATTTTTGCTCCCAAATGATTACTTTTTAATATGTTTGCAGAAAAAGTCACGTTTTCAGTAGATGAACACAGATCCATCTAATCTCTGCCCTGCAAGAATAAATGATTCCACTGAGTGATGATGATGATAAACATGATGCATTTTTCACCGTCAGTTTTGTGTTTATTCTGAGAGAATAAATTACTGCCCTGCGGCAGGTGAGTAGAACTCTCAGCAGAATCAGGTGGAATAAGGACAAATGTGCCAACTTGCCTCTGCAGGTGAGCACAGGAGGTCCAAGAAACACAACAGCGCCTTCTGCTGGGAGCTGAGTTAAAGCCCGGCAGCTGCTTCAGAGTGTGCAGGTACTGCAAAGCGTGAAGGTCCCACTCATCTGACACACGAAAGGGCCACACAGAAGAAAACTTCACACTTTTATTGACATCCAGTCAGGTCTTCACACACAACATCATCACTTCCTGGTTAAACCCAGCTCCCCGCGGTGAGGAGGTATTAATATTCAGGCAGTCTCACAGTTTGGAGCCTGCTGCACTGACAGATGTTTATTTTTTAGACCCACTGACGCACGTGTGAATGCAGACCAGACATCATTTCTGAATTAAAATCTGAACTTCATTACAAAGTAAAACGTAAACACTTTTTCATAATTTTTGAAAATACATAACTTACAACAAAAGTCGCTTTTTAACGTTTATATTTAATATAATTGTTTTTTGTTGGGGGGGGGGGGTGATTGTTTCAATCAATTTCAGTATTATATATATGCACGTAGCACCATTCATATTCATAACAATAATAACATTAGGCACTTATAGTTTTTTTTTTTTTTTTAATCGACCACTAACATTTAAAATAGACTTGCATAATTTTATTCAATAACAAAAATAAGATTGCTCAGATTTAATGTGTATTTCCGGAAACGTACAAGAGCATATTATTGCTATAAATACTAGAAAACAACCCATCCATAGTAAACGTTTATTTCCAAATAATGGATACGTAATGTCATCATTCCTGTGACATCAGCTACTACATATATAAATATGTAAATCATTGTAAAAATTTAAGTGTTTTTGTGTGTTTTAAGAATTATTTCCAAAGCATAGATAAATATCCTGAGCAGTTCATATAGTAAATTTCCTCCGGGTTGATGAACACTTCTACGAGGAGTTAGAGACACGTGTATGCTACCATGGTGATGGTAAGAGATATATTTGGTTTAAGCAGCTCACAGGTGCAAACGTAATGTGACCAGTATTAATATCAGTTAAAATTAGTATATTCAGTTTTATATTAGTATTGATCAACATTTTATTTTACCAGCTAAAGTTTTTTCAATTCACTTTTATTGTTGAAGAAAAAGTTTAATTTAGTTTATATTCAGTTTTTCTTTTTGCGCAGGTTTTTATTCAGCTGTTAATTTTACATATTGAACATGTGAAATTGTCATGTGTGCAGTTTTTCTTAAATAAATCGTAGAGTTCAGCTTGAATGTGAATGTTAGCTAACTGTTTAAATGATGCTAAAAAAACGAACGATTAGGCTAATATAGTTTAAGCTAAATTTATATTAACACATTAATACATTTATGATTTGTTTCAGTATGTGTAAGTAATTAGGATTAACTTATCCAAATTTTAAAGGTGAACTTGTGGTAAATTATTACATGGCTGAATAATTTAATAGTTGTTTTTTTTTAATGGCGGTTTTTCGTGACTTTGAAACGTGAAAGGACGTCTCTAATGGACTCAGCGGTAAGAGACCAAGAAAAAATAAGCTTTGAAACGTGTGGTGAAAATGTTTCACTCTGTCCACGATGTTTTCATTAAGCCGAGCGAGTTGGCCAAAACGAAACACAGAGGAGCTGAAAATGTCTCCAAGCGTTGAACCCATTTCTGGTTCAAACTGGAACTTTGAGGTAAAAGGCCTCCTCCTCATACCTGGAGTGGACTTCAGGGACAGTTTGGTGAGTATTTCACAGCCTGCTGTGAGACTTTTCACTTATTTTACATCAGCAGCTAAAACAGGTTTAATTTACAGGAGAAAAGTGTAACTGTACCTTTAATCATGAAGTCCAGGTGGATTAGAGCTGAGATGGGTCTGTTTGGGTAGCAGACAGCGTACTTAAAATTAAAACTGACATCCCAGCTATCATGGAGAGGCACAAACTGGATAGGTCACCATTATAATCAACATTTAACAATTTTAAGGGATACTGCAGAAATACAGTGAGCATAAATCAGAAATACAGTGAGCATAAATGTATTTGTCACAACAGTTATAAATGTAGGGTCTCTGCTGCTACAGGAATTGGCCCTAAAAGCCAGTATTTAAAAGTGGTTTACATTTCCTGGTTCCTGACGTCTCGGTTAAGAGCTTAGTGACGTCTGGCTTTGAAAAATAAAAATCATCAGGAAAAACAAGGGAAGTGTTTCAAGGTCCTTGTCCGTGTTAGTCAGGTTATTCTACTAATGGTAAACGGCCTCAGGTATTTGCCTATCCCGGCAGGCCTCGCCTCGTCCATCTCTCTCCACAAATTTAGGATACGAATCGGCGAATCAGACGCAAACAGAAGGCAGTGCTGCCAACTGTTCACTTTCATGTGAATGACTAGCAGTTTTGTGTCGGCTTTCTTAGAATAAAGTGGAAAATAACTAATCGACCGAAGCAACATGTAACCGCGACCTACACCGCCGTGTGGATGCCGGTTGAGGAAGAAACCACGACTGTTGGTGCTGGCTCTACTCAGGTTAGTCACACTCCAGACCAACCTGACAGTGTGTGTGTGTGTTTGCAGCGTTAGACACAGATCTGCAGATTTCGACGATATGATTTGATTAAAAGGAGCCTGACTAACAAGTTCATGCAGCCCCTTGAATGCACAGGAAGTATTTCTGACCGATTATTAATTCATCTGACAGGAAAATTCCTGATAAAACCTGACAGGCAGCAGAGTTGTCGGGAACTGAAAATTGTGAAAGCTGTGCTAGTTTGCAGAAAGTTTCTGAGTGAAAAAAAACACGCAAGCTTCATAAAGTCTGAATTCAGAGATCATCCTCAGCGCACATGTGGAGGGAAGCGGAGCGATGCTAACGCCAGGGCTGGCCTACAAAAACAGTTCCACTCAGCATCTGCCGAACGCTCGTGGCTGGAGTCACAAAGTTTGTCAGCAGGGAAGACGGAGCTGGTTCCTCGTGTTCCCGGTGAACGACGTGTCCTAGATGATCCCAAACAGCACCACAGACGATAACTGCACCTGAGCATGCTCCATAAGCCCGACTTGATTCAACCTTTCACTGCAGGGCTCTCCAAATTTATTCTAATTTCTTTCCAAACTTTCCAGAGACCCCCTCCTCCTGGCCTGGCGTAGCTTAACACCCCCCCCCCTCCGACGTATCTCCGGCCGAATCGCATTCCTCCGTTTGGCCGCCACAATGGGTGAACTGTTTGATGGCGGCTCTGCCCTGGTTCAGGTATTCCCCGTCTGATTAGGAACCTGAGCTTCACCACCCCCCCCCCACACACACCACCTCCTGCTCAGACCCCCCCACGCACACACACAGAGCGAGGCTCTCTTAGGCTGAAGGGCTGAAGCACATGTGATGGGACGACACCGCCGCTCAGTCCATCCTGAGAGGAAATAAAAACAGAGACGTGTACAAAGACGATTCCAGAGTTTAATTACCTGCATTTCCACAAAAAGAGAAACATAAAATAATAAAGGTAATATTCATACACACAGTGAGTACACAACAGAAATATATGCCACCTGACCATTATCACTTGCTTTTTTTTATTAAAAAAGAATAATTAAAGACCTGCATAATTTTCTAATTAATTCCTTCCTATTCTGTGTCATTATACATATATATAATAAAAGTTATTATGTATGATGAGGACGAATATTTATCAATGTTTCCTATTGATTTAGCTTAATAATTTTTCTCTTTCTATAAATGTGAAATAATTACAAACAGGAAGTGCTTTGGCATTAAAATATTCACAGCCAGGAAATATAAAATACATATTTCTTTTTTATATAAATATACAGTGCTATAAAAATAATTTAATTCTACACTTTGATTTTACGTATGGTGTAAAGCGTGGCTGTGACATAAACTGTCCTGTCAGATTGTTGTTCAGATTTGTTTTACGCTCACACTAAAATAAATAAGAATAAATTTGGCTTAGACTGAAATAAAAAAGAAATCATAATTTACAGTGATTTCTGTCTCATCTGGAAATATATGAAATATGAAAGCAGCTCCTTTATTAATGGCTGTAGCCTCCTAAACAAAAATATGAAAGTTTAATTAAAGACTAAAGCTACATCTGTCGGAAAGTTTTATTTTTACATCAATAATAAACATAAAAACCAGTCAAGCTAATTTTAGTCTCAAGTTTAAGCTTAAACCCTCTCTGTCTGTTCATTTTTAGGCTTGGAGTGAGGCTGAGCCTCAGCTTGAGCTTCCTGCTGTCTCCTTCCTACAGGTGAGGTGCATGATGGTGGAGCAAACTTACTGATTTACTGATTGAGCTCGGGATGATGAGGCTTCGGCCGGGAGAGGTGCGCTCTGTCCAGGGTCCACTCGCGCATGGCCCCTCGGTCTGGAGGTATTTATGCCAAAACACACGAGGCTCGGCTGCAGGAGGAGGAGGTGGAGGAAGAGGAGGTGGAGGGCTCACAGCGGATGAAAACAAAAGCATGATAAGCAGTTCCATGTGCACCCTCCCTCCCTGCCTCCCCCTTACCTGCCTTTAAAGTGACCACGAAGAAGAAGTTTGCAAAGTTCAGCTCGCCTCCTCTTCCTCTGCTCCTGATGATGATGAAGAAGCCCTAATTAAACCGGAGGAGGAAGAAAGGGAGAAGCGACCCGAGGCGCGCGACGATGCGTAAAAAGGCTCGTCATTCCTGCGCTCGAACGCGCGCGCGTGTGAGTGAGTGTGTGTTGTGTGCGTATAGAGTGTGTGCGCGTGTATATGCAGTGAGTGTGTGTGTCTGCTTGTGCAGTGAGTTTGTGCGTGTAGGGTGTGTGTGTGTGTAGGGGGTGTGTTTTCCTCGCAGCAGATGACTGCCGCTCACCTTGCCACGGGGTCTGCAGGAGATTGGTTCATTGTCAGGGCGCTTTTTTTCCCATGATTCCATGTGCTGCGGCTACATGTTGCCCAACATGCCAGAGCAAATGTTTTCTCGGTGAGGTGTCTCATGTCCGGTGAGCGCGCTCTCAGATGAGGCTCGCGGACAGCGTGATGGCGGGGAAAAGCTCGGAAGGATCCATCAAATGGCAGCTGTGCTACGACATCTCAGCCAGGACGTGGTGGATGGTGAGTTGGCACGAGCTGCTCTCCTCCTTCTTCTCTTTCTCTTTTCCTCCCGCCAAACACCCCCGCTCCCCTCTGCTCCTCTCTGCTCCTCCCGCGGTGTCGGAGCTTCTCTCCACTCAGAAGCGCAAACTTGTGAAAGCGCGGATAAAGTGGCTCCGCGTCCGTGTCCGCGCGCTCCTGCCGGTACTTACGGAGCGGACACTCCCGCCTCACCCCTCCCTCACCGTGATGTCCCGGGACGAGCTGGGTTCCGGCCCCGGTCGGCTGCTCCGTGATGACGCGTAAGGTTCGGCGGACCCGCCGTGGTCCCACGGAGCTTCAGAAGCTCCGGGGCGGAGGCACCTGCAGCTCCCGCTCCTCCAGCCTGAGCGCGGAGACACAACGGCGGCTTAACGCTGCCGAACAGCTCCGAGAACTCTGCATTCCTCCGGTCACACTGTGCCGTCCGCTGCCGCCGCCAGTTCCCGGTCCAAGGAGAGAGATTTTAGGTGAAGAGTTTCTATTAAAATAATCTTTTGAATTTAGTTTGAAGCAGGAAAAATAAAAAAATAATTTATTTCCCGTTTCAATGAAGTGAATGTATTAAAATAAATTTATGGCACGCGCTGAGCACAAGATAGAAACGTCTGTTTGTCCTTAAACGTTTCTTATTAAAGGAAAAGTTTCCTGTCGTTTTACTTGATTTAAATAATTTTATTTAAATCAAGGAGGTTAAATTAAACACATTTGTACTTTATTTATAACATTTATTTAAAAATACATTTGGAATATAAATGTGAAATCCTGATTGGACTCTACTTTTACTTTTTATTTCTTTATTAAAATGGTTTTAAACCTCACAATTAAATGTAAATATAAAAAACTGAAAATAAATTAAAATAAGGCCAATGCTGGAAGTTTACAGTGATTTTAGGCAATAAATATGCACAAAAATTACGTTTTTTGGGGTGTAAAACCTGAAATATTTTCCTTTTTCCTCTAAATGATTTAAATGAACGGCACAGGTATTTCCTGGGTTTTTTCTACTGGACTTTTGCAGTAAATTCAAATTAATAATGATTTGAATTTTTCGCTCTGCGTGAAAAATTTGACAGTTCGTGGGGAGATATCAGACACATTTACAGTGACTGCATTAAAAACTCAGCAGTTGAGAGTTTTCTAATGAGGTATCACCGCAGCAGCATCCTAAATGATCATAGCGGGTAATTAGTGGGACTTAAATCTGTGAAGCAGCAGGAAAGGTTAAACTGGCTGAAAGCACAAAGAGGATTATCTGCTCCCATTTTCAGAAAGCAGCTGTGATTATTCCAGATGATTTCAGGCCAGCGCACCAGTTTTCCTTTAGTGCTTTAATGGATTTTAGGTTTTAATCTCATTTAAATATTTTTTATAATCTGCTGTTTGGTGATTTAATATCGTTAATGAGTCTTTCAGATTCAGGATATTTTGTTTTTAAAGCTGTAAAAATGTTCTGAATTCCTGCTTCCTCTTGTGGAGTCGGGTTTTTTGTGAGCCTTTCTTCGGCCTTCTTCGTCTTCGCTGCACGTTACAGTTAAACGCTGGAGAAGTGAAGCTGAATTGTTGCCAGTTTGTATTTACTGCTGTGCGGCATCTGCAGCAGTGAACACGTCGCCTTCATTAATAGTCACATTTACAGTGAGAGTAGGATGAAGGCGGAGAGCACGAGCAAAAAGATAGAGAAAAATAATATCAGGGAGTTTTTCTCAGAAGAGACAGAAAATTTATTTAAATTATAAACTCAAAACCATGCAGGACAAACGGGCTGCGCTTCAATTTAAACTACAGCAGAAGAAGAACATCTGACTTTCATACACAATAAAGACGAGAGAGTTTGTGTGTGTGTGTGTGTGTTTGTTCTCTGCAGGGGTTAACAGCACTACAAGCGACGTTTAGCATCACAAATAAATAAGCAACTCTGTTTTCAGGATGTTGTTGTGTGTGTTTATAAACATGTTTGTAAACATGGTGCATGTGGAACATGTGGAACGTTATTATTATTATTATTATTAGAGTTTCTGCAGATGCTTTAAAAACTGTGAAATTCACGAATTTGAAAATTATTTTTAAATGTGTTAGAAAGCTGAGGAGGAGGCAGGTGTAAACACCACTAACACTGAGCTCCTAGAATATTCCCATCTCTTCAGATTGTTCGCTCTCGCTCATAGTGCCAATAAATGAGTCTTCAAAGACACAAATGAAAATATTTAGTTCCTTTTTCAAAAGCTGCTTTATGCTCATCTTAAAAGCAGAACGTTGGAGTGAGAGCACTAGTGGCGATTCAGCCGCAGGCGATTTATGATTTGAAGTACCTGATCCGAGCACCTGCTGGATGTTGGAGGCTCAGGAGGAACAGTAGCTGTGTGCTGCAGACGGAGCGCAGTACGGCCTCATGTCTGCACCTCCATCAGTTTCAGCTTCAGTGACTGACAAAGCACAAAATCCAAGTGATCTGAGTGTGTCACCCTCAGGAACTCTACACACACTCACACAGACACTCACAGACACACACACAGACACACACTCACGCACACACACAGAAACACACACACACAGATACATCCACGCACACACACTCACAGACAAACACACACAGACACACTCACAGAAACACACGGAGACACTCGCAGACACACTCACGCACACTCACACACACAGAGGTACACCCACGCACACACTCTCACAGACACATACACACAGAGACATTCGCGCACACACCCTCACAGACAAACACACACACACACATTGATGGTGGCGTCGGGGCAGTTTGCGGGTGTTGCCTTCAGTTGTGAGGCAGCTCTTTGAACCTGTGTGTGTAAAGTGTGTGATTGGTCGGTGGGATGGTGGTGCAGTGGATCGCATGTGTCTCACTGTCTGCTGTCATTTGCACTTGTTTACTTCGACTCTGCAAGCTGATTGGTCCGGGCTCTGAGACCCGTTTGATGGTTTCAGGAAGGTGTGATCAGTCTCAGTGTCGCCGCCGTGCGTCCGACACCGAGGTTCAGCTCGTGTTTGTCTCTGAGACGCCTGTAGCAGAGCGAGCTCGTTGATCGTTTATTAAAAAATCTTTATCATTAATGATGAAGCCGTAAAACGTTAGAAAACCATTACGATGTCCTGTCAGCTGAACCTTTCTCGATAAGGTTCAGCTGACCTTATCGAGAATCTGAGTGAAATATTTAAATATAAATCATCAGTGTTGGCGTGTGCAAGCGCGAGTCTTTTCACATTTAAAGAAAATTTGAATTCTCTGCATATGAAAAGAGTTCAATCACAATGTGCTTCCCGTCTGAAAGCGTCGGAGAAGCGTTTACTGTCACAGAGAAAAACTGGAGGATTTCAGTCCCGTGTATGAGTTTGATGTGTCAGAGACCTGTGAGCTGAGCCTGATGGGTCACTGTGTAATATGCAGATTCATCCTTCAGGGTGCTGAGTCTGTGAATATGTAGAAATGATGTTTTTGGACAGGGACACAAGTAAATTAATAACAGCCAGCTGTGTGTATTACTTTTCATCCAGCCATGCACTGCCTCCAAACACGCTGAACACCCTCATGACTGTCAGTATTAGTAACAGCTGATAATAATTCATTTAATGGCCACTCCAACGTGGGAATAATGATTGGTGTTGGCATCAAAATTTTCAGTACTTAGAGTGTAAACTGTGCCGCGGCTCTATAAATCAACAAAACGTGATTTATTGATACTATTCTCTGAGTTAGATGAAATGATGACGAGTTTATTGAGAAAGCAGCAAATAAAAACTTTTAAAACCTTTCAGCAGAGAATTTCCAAAATGGAAAAAAAAAAGATCAACCAGGGAAAAAAGATTCGGGTCAGCTGTTCGGTCATTTTGAAGAGTCTGGTTTATGGTGTGTTTGTGTTTATGTTACTTTGTTCACCCAGTGAGGGTGCGTTCAGGTTCGGAGAGACGTTTTAAATTGCAGCGACGAACCTGTTTATGAACACCGCAGCGTGAACCGAGCAGGTCTGCATGGACGTGATGATGATGATGTCACAACTTCCTCCTACACAATAAAAGAAGCTGAATATGGAACAGAGTAAAGTATTGATCATTAAGGATTCATTAATAACTACAGTTGATTGATGATTTGATTGGTTCTGACAAATTTATTTCTACAGTCCAAACATCACAAATCATAGATGAGCTGTAGGGGGCGGGGCTTACAGCATGATGCTGAGGGAGACGGACAGGAAGTACCGGCTGTGCGCGTAGAAGAGCAACACAGTGGATATGCGGTGATGTAGGCGTGTAAAGAATCAGAAGGAGTTGCTTCCAGGTGTATTGAGAGAAGGCGGGGCTTTCTGACATCCATGAGCAGCTCTGACTGTGTTCTTACAGCACGATGAAGATGACATGGCGTCTTCGTCTGGCTGTTATTATTAACCTGAGCACCTGAACGCCACTCAGGACTCACTCTGTTGTCGTCTTTAAAAAGCTGAATAATTGTTAAAGCTAATTAATATCAACCACAGTAATCAAGCTATTGTGTAAGAATTAATGAGCAGTAGGAAGGTGTGTGTGTGTGTTTTCCAGGTGAACATGCTGGCTGTTTGATAGCTCTGATTACTGACCCGTGTCCGTTAGCGGTTGGCAGTGTGTTCGGGGTCAGAGGTTGAGTGAGGCGATGCTCGGCTCTGTGAAGCGGTGACTTGGAGCGGGCCGGTGGCGCCTCAGCGCTGTGTTTGTGGTCCGTGTGAGGTCGCGTTCATTAGCCAGAGACTGAGAGGAGGACCGGGCTTCAGCGATGAGCTCAGCGAGCAGAAACGCAGTGCAGGAAGCAGCCGAGCATAGCCAGCACGCCAAAACTTTAGAGACGGTCCTGAAATCAGGGCGCTCTGACTATAGCTGCGGACCGAGCAGGAGGGTGAAGGTCTTCCTGAGCTGGGCCCAGTAACGTGCACTGAGACCACTGTGGGTTTGATCTACAAATGAACACTGATCACTTTAAAATAAGCAGAAGGCTTTAACCTGTTAGTTTTGTGGTTACCTACTTTGGTGTAGTATGTCCATGGAGGAGCAGGAAAATCTGTAAAACCACAGTTAAAAGTCACAATTTATGCCCTCTTTTCCAACATGGTCCAGAAGGCCGGATTGGAGCCCTCTGGCCTTATGTTTGACACCCCTGGTCTAGAGATACAGGACTGTATCAGCTGGGAGCTGTCGACCAATCTAAATCCAGGTTTTTGCCACTTGCTGCTCCTAAATGCCATTCAGTGGCCCGATCATGATGATTGTTGACCTTTGACCCAGAGGGCTCTCGTTATTTAACGTGCCTTTTCTCTTTGGAGCTCGGTGTCTTAGTAAAATCAGACTGATGAGAGGATGAGTTTTT